TTTTTTTTTTTTTTTTTTTAAGAGCCAGAAGCTGGGGCCGGGCAGGGCAGCCAGGGGGGGCTGTGAGTGGGCAGGGGTTGGGGGGTGCTCAGGGGAGCTGGAGGAGCAGGCAGGGGATGGGGCCTGGTGGGGATCCCCCCCATAGGCCCCTCCCCTTTCCTCCAGCCCCCTCTCCCCTGCCCCCTACTTACCAGCTCCGCATCCGGGTCCAGCTCCCTGCAGTGGAGAGTGGGGACTGCCCAAAATCTCTCCAAACCTTTGCAAATCTTTTCCAAATCGTTTCAGACCTTTTTATTGGTCTCCTGATTTGATTCAGATTTGGCTGCCGAATCGGGCCAAATCTTCTCAAAATCGAATCAGCATCCAAAGTTTCACACAGCCCTAGTAGTCAAGTGTCCATAATGCCAGGCTTCTTCCTGCATAGCTGCTGGGCTTCCAGCACCACTGCTTTTGCCTAGGTGCTTGGCAATGATCTGGGTGCTGAAAAGAAACCTGGCATTGTGAGAGAACTTTGATGGATCCCCAGCAAAGCCATATAATCCAGCTCTGCAGGCCCTTCAAAAAGTATAATAATATCAGTGTAAGAAGTAGACAAAAGAGGATGAAGCAAAGTGACAGATTACTGCCATGTGATAACCCCCTGTGGAGGAAGAAGTTAAATCTTTTGGAGAAGTTGAATTTTCATCTCAGAAAGAGATGATTAAAGTGTGCTGAATGGTGGGGAAAGGCCAAGGGATGAAAAGAAGAGTACAGACAATTTAGAAAAAGTTATAAAAACAGATGGAGCAACAACATTAAGAGTTTAAATACAGAAATTAAATTTATGTCCTGTCAGAAAGCTAAGCATTTCACTCAACTGTTGAATTCCAGGGCACAAATCAATCTTCATAACCAAAAAAAACATTCAATTCAAGACATTACAGTTAATTTATAAGAGACCTAAAGTATACCATAGGATATCTAAAAGTATATCATAGGATTAGTGTTGTAAGAATGCCTAATTCTCCTCTATCCTGAGAAAAATCTCTCCATTTCCACCCAGCCTCTCTCCACCTTGGCTTCCTCTGTACTGTCTCTAGGGTTCTTGTGCTTACCTCCTTCAGCTTCTCTCAGCATCTTCATGGCTCTTAATCTACATATCGTGTTCTTAATTCTAAAGTAACTAAAAATATGTTGAGTAAGCTTTTTCTAACAGCAACACTGTGGCATTACTATTCTCTTGTTCTACTGGATACATCTGTTCCCTCAGCAACTAATCATCATTATATCCTGAAGACTTCCAAAATTCTACGCTCTGCTACCTCTCCTCCTACGATGCTGAGTGTCTAAATCGCTTTTGGAGGGTTCCCATGCTCTCCTAAATCCCCAACTATATTGTCTCTACTTTTCTGTATCTATACTCATGTCCTAGGCAACCAAGTCTGCCTCCCCACCCCTCCTCTCCACCCAGCTAAGCCATCACACCTAGGCTAATTATGTCAAATCCATCTCTGTCCTTCATTAGTCTCATTCCTCCAATTTGGCAGAAGGCAGTCTCTATGGTGCCACATTTACCTAACTGGTTCAGAGGAATGAGCTTCTGTATGCAGCAGCCTACTTCATCAGATGCTATGAATGAACTTGAGGAAAAAAGGGTTTAAAATAGAGAGGAATTTAAATACAAATGAGTGGGGGAGGGATATTGCTGAGAGAGGCAAAAGGTCAATAGTGATAAACAAGGCAATTAACACACTGAAGGATGTTGGAATAAACAGCTAGAGGTAATAACTATTTCAGGTAATGAAATCTCTGTTAAGACCATGTTTAACACAACCCAGTCTGTGGATGATCTCTTCTTCCACAAGTTTTAATTCAAGTTGTTTTTCAGTTTTATTTTTTTGTTTAAGCACAGCTATTCTGAGGTCAGTGATGGCATGTCCAGGGAGGTTAGAGGGCTCTGCCACACATTTTTGTATGTTTCTGGAATAGATGTCCACTCAACTGCCATTAATTCTTTTATGTAGGGATTCCCCATTCTGGCTACCATGCAGAAAAGCATTGTAAGCAAGTGATGGCATATTTTATAGTGGTAGAGGAATAAGTGAATAAGTGCCAGATATTCTGTTTTGTGTGTTTGGTGCACTGATGATAGAAGCCCAGACTGTGTGTTGATAAGCTGTTGGCATCTGGATTTGTGACCTGGTGCTTGGTGAAAATTGTTCCTAGAGAGCCATCATTTGAAGCTGGAGGCTGCTGGTGAACCAGGACAGACTTGTTCCCTATGGTCAACGTTTTCCAGGAGGGGCTGGAGGTCATTAATGATTTATTTAGTTGTCAGTTCTCTCTGATGTGCTACCAGTATTTCAAATTTACTTCCCCGCCCCCATATTTGGGCTTTTTTCCTCCTAATCTCTCCACATCAAAATTGAGGATTACACTATGTCCTGTTCATCAGGACTGCAACTTTGTCAAATCTTTTGCCCTTAGTGTAACTTCCATTCTCAGCCCTCACTAAAATATTGCTCTGAAATACTACTTCTTCCTACATACTGTCCAAAGTCCCTCCTGCAAGTGCCTAACAAGTCTAAGTGCCTATGACAGTTCAACCACATTTACTTTGGCAGTGAAACTTTACCTTTGAATCAAGGTAACTTTAAATTCTGAATGAGAGTATCTATAGAGGGGTTTAACAAGGTGCAAGTAACCACTTTAAATTAACTCCTTTATTTAAGTCAGATTAACTTTCTTGAGTGTGTCTGTGCAGCCAATCACATAACAGTTAACTGCTTGTCCTCATCTTTTAATTCCTTTTCTTCCCTGCTCCTCCTTATGATCCTCTTAATTCTTTTAAATAATGTCTCCTACTTTATTTTATGCTGTCCCAACCACTTGAACATTTCTCAGTTTGGCTCCATATCTTTTCTCATCTTCAAATCCTTACAATAGAGAGAACCTGAGGTCTGTTGGACTGCACATGGCGAGAGTTGGGGGTCAGAACACCAAATCATAAAAGTCAGTGACCAATGAAAAATGTAGCCTTAGGCAAATCACTACAACTATACAGGTAAAATACTGGTCCCAATAAAGTTGTACCAATTTTGCCATTTGTAAAATAAAAGCATTACTAATTTCCTTGGGT